GAAAAAATTAGAGCAGTTTTTAAGAAAATGGAACTTAAGCACTGTAGTATATTCAAACTTTGTAGTATTTTTTTCAAATAAAAGTTTTCAGTTTTCGGAAAGCTTCATTAAAAACACTTGAAACACATTTACTCACAAAACAATAATATTTAGAAATTGCTGGAAATGGGCACATTAACAACATGAAATATATTTCAAAAAATTACATTGCAGTAATTTTTGAAAAAGCAAAACTATACCCCGAAATGAACTTAGGTCATATTAAAGATTGTAATTAGCAATATCCGTTCAAAAAGTATGAAGAAAAAAATACGGAGCGGTTTTTAACCTTTTGTGAAATTTCGAAATTTAGAGCTGGTTTTGACAGAAAACGGTCGAGTTTTCGAAAAGCTTCATCCAACCTTATTTAAAGCGCAAATACTCATAAATATAATGAGAGCAATTTCCTAATGCAAATATTAATAACGTGAGAGACAAGTAAAAAAATAATTTTTGAATTTTTGAAAAACAAAAGAATAAAGCAATATGATGTTTATGTCATCTAATCGAGTACATTTAGCACTGTCCCTACCTAAGGTTCAAAGAAAATATTTGGAGCCGTTTTTTGAGAAAATCTTGTTTGTGTAATTTTTTTTAATTGCACAAATTGCATGCAATATAGCGTGAAAGTAACTAAAATTTTCAAAACATTTTACATTACCTTAATGCAAAAACAAATTATGGACATTAAATTTTAATTGAAGAAAAAGTCTCTGTCTTTAATTTTGTTGTTGCAGGAAGACCCCCAGAAATTCAAGTTTTTGACATTTTCAAAAATTCAGAGTTGACCATAAAAATCAGGCCTATGCCACATTTATAAGTGCATTTTACTCTATTCTTACAAGAAGTTTAAATAAAAACAAGCCATTTTTAGAAAATTTTGAAAATACCTCAGAGACTTCATGTTCAATACCCCCAAAAACTAATGAATGGTTTTCAAAATTGCTGAGCTTTGACTCAGGCCAAATGGACAGGGGTTTCTTCAATTTGGAAAAAATCATTCCCATGGTTGAGACGCTAGTGTTGTTCACATACACCGGACGGGCGGATGGATGGACGATAAGACATATGGACGAACGGACGGAATGAAATTTTAAAAAAAAATCCGTATGAGCACAAAAAAAGAAACGTTGGAGTGTTCCAGATCCATGATACTGTAACATGTTTCCTTGTTACAGTATCGTGGATCTGGTATACTCCAACGGTTCTTTTTTTTCGCTGAGGGTACCCCAAAACGTGTATTTCTGTGAAAATCTTGAAATCGATTTTCTGGAGCATTACATAACTTTCCTTTTACTACGTACGTTACTCCATATACAAGTACGTACACGGAGAAGTAAAAATCTGTTGTTTTCAAAAAAATAATTAACTTATAGGTGTGCATGAATACTAAGTAACTAATGACAACGATTTTTTTCTCTCACAAAATATCTAAATTCAATAAAACAATTTTAGATTCTTGAACTTTTGTATTAGTCTGACAATGTTCTGAATAGCAAAATAATGTGTGAACATAAGAACAAATCATGACTCGTTTTGTTTTCCTATATGCCATCCAAGTCGAATTTTATTTCTCGATTTTTACAAAACATCATTAGCTCCCAATCAGTGCTCAAAATTAATGACTGCATGCCTTTAAGCCCCATCTGTCAGCATTATGAAATGCTGTCTGTCTACATTCAACGAGCGAATGTGTTCCATATCAACTAGGAGTTGCGGTGCGATACTAAAAATAAAATGACTCGTCAAATCTATGAACATCGTTTTTTGCACAATCCAGAACGGTAACATATAGCGCTGTTTATTTTCAAAAATTGCTGAAGGTTGTAGTGTAAAGATTTCAAAAGGCTGAAAATGAATGGTATATTTTCGTTTGGTAAGATTCATTTATATCGGGACAAGTTACTGTTAAAAGTACGTTTCAAAAAACATAACGTTTCATAATAAAACATAATTTTAACTTATATCTCTTAAATATTCTTTCTTTATAAGAGAAAACCTTCTGAAAACGTGTCACAGAGAACAATATTCAAAAAATATAAAACCCGACTGTGAAAGACACAAGTAGATAAAATATTTTTTCCTTTGTTATCTTGTAGAATGTCGTAAGGATAACTAATCAACTGCTCCAGTCGGAAATGTTACCGGATCACATTAACTGGTAGCACATGAAAAATAAAACAGTTGAATTTTGTGTATATTCGCAGTGTTATAGTACTCTGATCGGTTCACATTGCCAACCATGGTGTAGAATGTAAAATAGGTTACACTAAATCAGTTAATATTTTGCGTACAATTTTAACCATAAAGGTACATAGATGAAACTGTTTGTTTGCTTCGAATAACTAGGATCTGAAATATTTTTTATATTTTAATTCAAAAAGACAAATGTATAATTAGGAGCTTTTTACGGCAATTTGTATAATTTAATAATGATACTGCTATTGAATAATTTTTTTAGAGCATTAACAGTTGATCAGTACTTCTATATCGTAATATAGAATAAATGTGTAAACATGTATTTTTTATGTTTTATTCGCAGCGGGATTTTATAGTTTTTGATATTTTTTATTTTATTATTTTTATTACATTCATAGAAGTCAATGATTATAATTCTGGGTTTGCTGTGTTATCTATTTGTCAAATCCGTAATATGTTAATTTAATTGCAAAAAAATGTTATTCTATTCGTAATATACATTTTATGTTTCCCCTGAAAGTTCTGTTTCTTATGCCACAGTCTTCCCCTTTTTCAGGCAAAAATGTTCAGTGTTTCTCTCTACCCAGAGGTTTTGCAATTAACTTTCATATATACAAATGTGTTCTAAACTTACAATTACTGTATCTTTTCATCACCGCTTGTGTAGAACTATTAAAATATTTCTCTCTATAATGGAATAATTTTCTTCTTGTAGTAAAGTCAACCGCCATAAGAGACGTATTTTCTAGGTATTCTGTATAATGTATACATTTCTTCATTTGTTAATTCCACATCTAGAATTTAAGTAACTTTCCGCACAACGTGTACCTACTCTATTTTTACTTCCTTTCTACCTTACTTTTAGTTCAACATTACACCATTACTCATTAGCATTTCTTTTTTTTTAAATTTAAAATTTCTAAAATTTTCTTTAATAGTTCTTATCCTTATTTATAATGGATCAAATCTAACTCATTCTTTGTATGAGATCCTACCTCAACCTGTTTATTAGAAATTAATTTTGAACAGATGTTTTAATTTCAATATTTGTGGTATTGTATTTTATCAAGCTAGGTAAGTTTTAATTCATATAACTGACAACTTTACATCTCTCACACCTCCATTTCCTGTATCTGCCATTGGTCATGGTTTTCTTTGAGTTTTTTTTTCAGTTTGTATTTTGAAAGTGTCACTTCACATCACATTAGCATAATAAAGTTACTTGACAACAGTTCATCACACTTTCTATAGGAACTCTCATGTTTCAGTACACTTCTTGAGATAATTCCTGAGATAACTTGTCGCTTGAATTTTAACTACTTCAGGTTAAGAACGATAGCATAAGTAACATTTCCCAGTACACAGGAAAGTAATAAAATCTTATAACCACCAACGATTTAATGTTTATTTCTTTGTATGCGGCCAACATGCAGAAGAAAGTGTAATGTTTTATGAATTGTTATACTTATACTTTGAACACTAGTTGCTTATTTCTTTTGACTTACAATATATATGTATGTATAAATGCTCATTAACTTAAATATTTTTGAACTTACTTACCTTAATAATATAATTTTAACTTTTACTCTTATATGGATAATATTTATTATGTAATACTTATTTTTTTAATTTATTTCCGGTATGTTCTTATTATGTGTAGAAATTATTTACCCATTTCTTTTTTAATATTAATTACGGAAGGCATTCATCTAATTTTAATAATTAAGTTAGCAGCTAGTTAAGAAGCAAGTTCTATTGTGCATATACACACAGTCTAAGAGGGTCAAATAATGGATGAATTGGATATTTGTATACTAAGAGCTGTACATTGCTCAAATAGATCTTATATAGAATTGCTATTTTATTTTAGACTGAGAGGTATTTGCAATATAATTGTATCCACGTAATTCAAGCGTCCGTTTTTTCGCCCAATATCGCACGTCACGTGTCCCTCGTTTTCTCCGCTGTGACAACTCTCTAGAGCTCCGATGTTCGCACGAACGATTTTATCTCGCTGAGACATCCAAAACATCCCCTACTCGACAGACGCCTTTCATCTCTCTCTAGCGGGAATCCTTTCCGGCCCATCTACCCTTTCCCTTTCGGTGATCTCTACTCAGACGTCAACCGTCGGGCGACGCGGGGCGGGCGCTCGCTCAAATCGATACAGATACTTTTGAAGCGACGCAACTCGACGCGACGCGACACGCCGCGACGCGAGCGCGCCCGCGAACAAAACGCCATCGCCCGCGAACCGCCGATCGGCTGGCATGATTGATGAGTTTCCTTACGCGTCAATGTCAAGGGTCATTAGTCCTGTAAGTGTGGTGCACGTTTTATCGCGGGAGGTGACGGTGATCTTACGGCATTGGTCGGCGAGATCCCGCGCCGACCTACATGTAGACTTTCAGGGTTTTTTTTCAACATGATATCTCCCACTAGTGGGTCCACCAGCTGGGAACTAACCGTCGGCTTGCGTTGTTTTCAACAACCAGCAGGGCACTGCCCCAGCCAGGACAAGCTCTAAGCTCCCGACTGGTCCCGACGTGTGTGGAAGTGCAGTGCATGTGAGTGTGTGAGTGTGTGTGACTATGGGGTGAGGATAGGGAAAGGAAGAGGAAGGAAAGATGGCATTCGCCCTGCATTGTTTCCAGGAACGTCAACAGCTAACAACTCTTAGTTGTACATGAAGAGTGCTTCATTGAAATTTTTTAAATATTTTTTATCGAATATATAATAGAAACAATAATAATAAGTTTTGAATCCTGTTTATTAAATAATTAAATAAAATGTATTGTAGAAATTTTTAAGTTGTAATATGTTGACTTTAATTAATAAATAAATGCTTTCCCCCTTGGAATATATAATTGGTACTGTTAAGCTCAATTATTTTGCTAAGTATACAAGGGATCCTGGCTGCGATATGAAATGCATTCGGTCAAACGGTGAGTGGCCTCGTTTTTCTCGGGCTGATGCATCTCCTTTGTCTGTTCTTGACAAGTTTGCTTCTGTTCTTGCTCGTAGATACTCCTGCCTAAAGCTTTTACTAGTCTCTTGCGTACCTGTGCATACAAAATGTTCATTATTAAGGTACACTTTTAATTCAAAATAATCACATATTTTCGACCCTATACAACACAACATTTGTGTTTTAGTAACTAATTATCATTAGAAATATTTAACAATTTTTGTTGTACAACCGAATACATTCTATTTACTCGGGATTACGGTACATTATTCATCAATTACTACTATATAAACGAAAGCAACAGAACTTTAATTAATATGTAAAACTTCCATGAATAGGCGTAACACGCAATCGAGTGTTAATCTGAGATACAATTTTCAGGCGTGAAAAAAGAATATTAGCCGATAGTCAATATATACTGATCAGGGTACATAAAACATCTCATTACTATTCAATATAATGCAGCACTCAGAAGATAGAATGGCTCATTATATTACCCATAAAGGATAATACTGAAGTCAATATAATATTATATTATGTCTATTAAGTTATAAAATGTTGCAATTTTTGCTTACTATTTTCTTTTATAATTTCATAAATAATGTCTAAATCATTAGGTTAACTGTTTATGCTTTCCAAATTAAGTATTATAAATTAGAGTTTTTATCTAAACATTTATAATAAATTTATCTGACGATCTCACCTAGTACTGGAACTCGAGATTTAATTAAATTAAAAATCACAGATGGAAAAATAGAATTATTACTACAAATATCTGTAATATTAAGACTACGATTACGATTCTGTATATAAAACTAATCTTTTATACATTTTTTTTCACTAACATTTTTAAATGAACTTTCTTTGCTTCTCGTTTTCATAACGGTTAACATTACATAATTTGAAATCAAGACACATGAATAACAATATACACTAATCTAATATTTAATCATTAATTCAGATCATGCATGATTTATGCCTATAGTTTTGAGAATGGCCAACTTTTGAAGATGTAATATTTTTTGTATAAAAAAACGTGTTCTTTCTTCATTATATTTTCAGTTATTTCCCGTTCGCCACGGTGGAAACATTACATTTTAGAGTTATCTGGACTGGTCTTCAAACACACTCTTACTTGTTCAACTAATTTGTTTTAGTTAATATGGTTACGATCTTATTCGTCGATGTTTCTATTGCCCTCTGCAAACATGTTCCTTCCCACATGAAAATTACAACTCAAAAACCTTCAACAAAAACACTTAGTCTCATTAAGCAAACGGCGTATCGTCCAAACACCTTCTGTTGTTCACATTCCATTCTAACAACATCATACGCATTGTTCATCCCAATTCGTAAGGTGATTGGTTCATAGTACTCAGTGGCTGGTTTCCTTTCAGACAACAACACACTCACTCACCCACACACTCCTACACACTCTCCCCCACACTCCTGCACACTCTCTCACACACACACTCCTACATACTCTTCCACACACACACGTAGTCCCTTATAGATGCAACAGAGTCAACTAAAGCTTACCAAACTCATGTTACCTGTCAATTGAACATACTAATGCCGGAAGCGTATTGACTCTTAGATATGTTAATGATTCATCCTATAAAGTTACATAAACCTTTTGTCATCACTTTTGACAGACAGAAATGCTGAGCATGAAGAAATAAAATTAAAATAAGGAAAGAAATGTTCGCGATATGGACCTAATAGCCTTTCTTCTTTATCACCAAGGAACAGTACATCTGTTTTCTTTAAACCTAAAAGCCGCATAAGCTACATTGTGATTGGCTAATTGTTCTTGGGTAAGGGGAGTGGAAAGAGGAAGAACGAAATTACACACGGTCTTGGCCCATGGTCTTTGAAAGGACTGCTTCGGAATTCGCCCAGTATTGATCGAAAGAGAAAGAACACCTACCAATCAGATCAGACGGGCGCTATAATTCTCATCCATTCAATGCGTAAATTCGACCCATGTACGAGTATGTAGCTACTGTCGAAAATCCTGTATTGTTGAGATCAAACCCTAAAATATCTCTGTTCCCGATATGCTTCCAACACCCGTGTGAGATTGGCCGGAGAATGCTACAGTCACAACCGATTAGAGCGATCGGACTCGGCACAGCGACAGAACACATACTCATTTAGCTAACCCACTAGTCGATTTTTGAACCTAGATAGGACCCGTAATCCTCCACGATTCATTATGCGTGGAACTAAATATGTGATAAATTAGATTTGAATAGTTAGTACTAAATTATTTCTTTTGTACCTTTGTACTTTTGAACGATCAGAAGTGTTTTGACTTACGTAAAGTTTCATGTTTGCAAGGAGTGGGGGCTGGTAGAAGCTAAGTAGAAGGCCAGCCACCGTTACACAGTACCATACATTGTAAGAATATCTTATAAAAATCTGTTAACTTGTGTCTTATGAACTAATTGCATGTTGTGTGTGCATCAGAATTTTCCAGCACAAACGTTGTGTGTTTCATTGATCAAATACATTTTGTACTGAACTGCAATAGAACTGTTAAAAATGTAATAATGCTGATTGATGTTTTCTGGCACGTGAGCTGCTATGGCCTCTTGTTCAAATAATATTTTCTTGCGGGAGATTTCTTCCAGGGGGATTTCCTCCCCACTGGATGGTGAGATCTGGCTCTGACTTACACATCGGTTTGCGAGGTATTTCGTCCTTCATGTAGCAACCGCAACGGGGCACCGCCCCAGCCGGGACAAGCTCTCTTAAACTAGTTCGTGTAAGTGTAAGTGCGTTAAAGAGGGAGAGATTGGGACAACGTAGCGGAAGGAACGTTTTTGCGGGGTCCGTGGCCCATTTGTTAGTGTACTGTCGGAATTCGCCTTGTACGAATCGGAGAAATCACTGAAAACTAACGATGAAATCAAACGAGACAGTTTCTGAATTCGATCTAGCTTTGAAGATACAGTCGAAAATACTAGTATATATAAGCTAGTATCGAAAATGCTAGAATCTCCGTCAGAATCGCTGCAGAACCCATGGTAGCTCTGCTAATTACTTTGCAGTATTACTGAGCCTCTTGCGTTGCTTTGACGATGAGTAACGCCTAGGGGCCCTAGATCTACTGTACGACTGTCATTGCCCAGGAGAGAACTGCACGGCTTTGAATATTGTAATTGCAATATTCTATCAGACAAGAAAAAAATATTATTACTAATAATTAGGAGACGGACTTTGATAACCTAAAACTGTCTTAAAACAAACTTGAAAACAAAGAAAAATTATGTGCAAATTGGTTTAAAACATCGAACAATTGAACATGATGGATGTGTTGTTAATGTAATCGAAGCTTCTTTCTTTCCTTCAATGAACTCAGGTTGCATTATTTTGGTTTGGACTGTTCTTTAACTGGAAATATCTGTCTTTAGTTATCGCAAAATCGGCTGAACAGACAATGGTGCTGATTGGCGTCCAAGGAACCATAGACTACGTTTTCACAACGGCTGACATTATAATTTCTGAGCGACAAACTCTAAAAGACTACTCCAGAATTCTGTGAACATTTTGTTGCATTTCGTAAATATTATTATAACGAGTAACATTAAAATATTAAAATCGATTAACTCAGTGAAAATGACTTAAAAATGACGGAAAAGATAAAAAAGGCTTATTAGTCGAAAGCAACAAAAATGCAAAAGAATGTCACATAAAGCGGGTCATTTCATTTGTTAAAATATAGAATTAATGTCTTTACTAAAATGTATTGTTCTAAAGTGAAAACAAAAGAATGGCATTTCATTAAAACCCACCCATACGTAATATTATATAATAAATAATATTAATACTAATGCGGGAAACCTTTAGCTCCCCAATCGGACAGAGCAGAGATTTTTACGTGTGAATTAAATCTGTTAACTCTCCAATCGCGTTTTGTCACATTAAACCACTATCTGAACAGGAAGTTTAGAGGTTATTTCGGATTTAGCTCCTCTGATCGGCGATTTCCCGTGCTTTCTCCAAACAAAACCTGACGAACGCTAGAGCAGTACACTCGCACAAGAACCATGGACCGTGCGCGATGTATCTTTCCTCATCCACGCCACCACTTCTTACACACACACACACACACACACACACATTTACAAGCACTAGACCACTATATAATGTCGAGTATCTTCGATCTTGTCTAGGGCGGTTCCTCCTAGGAGAGATACCTGGAGAGGGAACCGGATGGCATTTTCATGCGGGTGAGGACATCACAAGCGCTGCGGTTACGAAAAAACCATCTTGGTAACTCACGCGTACGAAAACAAAATCACTCAGTTATGCTTCACGTAGCCGATGGACCGATTCACTCATTTAACCGGTTCAACTGTAACTGTTATTGATTGGAAACGCTGGAAAATGCGGTGGCAATGTACATTGAAAAAGAACTCTCATACAGTATTTTCATAAGGCAAATCCAAAGTATAAAATAAATGCTTCGATATCATAAATACTTACAAAAACATTGACTCATTAACGCCGTAAATTCGTGTACAAGAGAAGGGCGAGCTACAAAGTAACCGTTGGTCAAAAGATTCCAAGCGATTAAAACGGTTGAAAAGGCGGGAAAGAACCTTTGATTCATCCAATTACTCGTTGCCATCACGAGTGAGCAGCCAACTCGACTAATCTGTTGGGGTTCGTTCGGAGAAGCAGAACAGGGCATTCGAACGAGAAATCTAACACTCGGCAACGTCGCGTCACGGAGATAACCTCCAGGTTTGCACACAGGGTTACGAAATACGGTCGAGGATATAAATCTCACTGCTGCGCATCTCCCAATCGATTTGAAAGATCTTCGAAGAAAGGTACTGAGAACAGTGCGACAATTCTCAGTTTTATAACAAAATGGCAAGCAAACACAAAGAGACACGGAGAAAACCTCCGCGACGTGCTATGAATTTCTTCGATATTACGTCTGCTCCGTGGTAACGCTAGTGAACAATGAATCGACTTTGTGATTCACGAATCGTGAGAGCAAATCTCAGGCCTCTATGCAGAATCATTCGTGCAACTTCCTAAAGTGTTGTATGTTGACGAATTCACTTGTAAAGTATAGTTCTATTATTTAATGTACATTTAAAATTTGTAAACCACAAATAAATGCAGTTATGTAGAAGTAACAACTCACTTCATAAATATTCCATGAGTAATTATACTTCTTTCATGCATTTATTATTTATTCATCTGTAAGGGGTTTTCGAATTAATTGGTCAGTTTGACATAAAATATGATATTATTGATGATTTAAATGATTCATAAAGGCATATAATGATCGTTTCTTCCTAAGTGTACTAAACATTCTATGATTTATAAAATGTTAATTACATTATTCATTAATATCTATTTTCTGGAGATTTTGAAAGATATGTGCGTTCCACCAATCACAACGCAGATACCACCACAACTGATGAACGATTTCAACGATTCAATCGAGATTCAACGTATCAGTCTGAAAAGCAATCGTACTGCCGGTTCAAGCAACAGTTGGGGCCCCTCCGGATGGCATCAGTGCTCACCTCCAATGCGTCCAGCTGGGAGGGGTCGTCCGGCCACTCCAAGTACGTCTTCGTGCTCATGTAGAGGCGCAGCGGGCGAGGCAGCGACTCCTTACTCAAGGGCCCGAAGCGGAGGATCACCATGTAGGCGTGGTTACTCTCGAAAGCGCGGTGCGTCACCATGTCGTATTCCTTTTTGCAGAACTGGAAAAGCATATCGTGTTGATTGTAGCCATTAACCTAAAGGCCCATATTTCAATCTCCAATGCCATTGTTATCTTTTATTAATTTAAATATAACACTGAAAAAATGTAAAAGTTGACCAATATCTTGGTATCTAACACTAGTTCTTATATAAGTGGAACGTATTGATTCAAAATATGCCAACCATTTGTCTCTATTATCCCCCATTTTTTAGGTACACTGCTTCAATCATTTATATTTCACTAGAGAAAATGTGTTAAATGTGTACTAATGAACGTGGAATTAGCTATGAAAATAGTGAGATTGAATCACGTGACACGCGTACTACATAGTAATATATTTCAAGCTGTAAAACACATAAAATCCATACACACTAATAATATTTAGTCTAAGATACTTGGTTATTTTCTGGTGAAAACCATGTTCGTCACTGAGCGACCTAGGCTTCACAACATTTACATGTCAGATTTATAATTCTCTAAGAAATTGGCAACGACAGATTTGAATGACATTCATGGATATTTTTCAATATCATTCAGTAAGTCTTGGAAATGGCTACCAATAATGACCTTTATTTGTGAACCTTTGCACACACCTTCTTTCACTTTCGTATAACTCTGGAAACTTGGTGCATAGGTATCGAAAAGCATCTGAGTCGTTTTCTAGTGCCTTCACGAAATTTTTCATGAGTCCCAGGAAAAGGATTGGGGTATTATCTTTTCCTTCTCTGATGAAGATGACAACTGATAAAATTTAAATAAAAACGCATGATATCAATTTACAAATTGAACATTTGCATATATACAAACTTAATTATCCAGGACTCAAGAAAGTCAACAAGGATATCTCAAAATATGTTTCAAACCTCTTCTACGTTTTCTACTTCTTAATTTCTTCTCTGTTTCAAACCTCTTCTACGTTTTCTTATTTCTTTTCTTATTATTCTTTTGAAAGATTATCTTTCTCTTATTAAGTATTTATTAACCGCATCGCCTCCAGGCGCATGTAAGCGGTTCATGTTCTGTCCTTTTGTTTCGGCGCACTTGCGGGAAATGTAACATGTACGATGATTCGCCTGGCATCTAGAGAGAGAGCTTACTCCGTCAACACTGTTTGCAATTGCATCTACCACGATCCAAAACGTGGAAGTTTCCGTTGCACCGCTTGTCAAGCGGAATAAGAAAGAGAGATGAGCTGTTAGACGCCTCTGGAGACGTCGAAGATATTTTCGATACGCACCACTGGGCAGCAGGGATACAGCAAGAATCAGAATTTCCATTCGTAAGTAATATCCTAAGGACAGAAGGCGCGATAAGACATATTTTGACGTTTTTAATAATATTTCTTATGTTTCTCATTTTTATTTTTCCTGAAATTTCACCCTTTAAATTTTTTTCTCTGTGCCTTTTGGGTAGGGCATGACACCCCCCTCTCAATCCACCATTGCGATTACATCAGTAACATATTCAACAGCTTGCGTTACACATCTAAGTTTGTCTAGATCAGTTTTATGACACTTTTCTTTTTGTTTTATGACACTTTTCTTTTAAAAACATTTTAAGAGTATTTAAGTCATATTTTTTGACAATTGTTTGGTTATCATATCCTGCATCTTTGTTATTATATTTCCTCATCTTAAGGATACTATATACATCCCCGACTGTGAGGCAAGTGTGATGTAAATTAAAATAGTTCTTTTATTCAAAATTTTTTGATCGAATATCTCAAAATACTGATGTGGATGGAATGAGGGTTGAACTCAACTCATGCTGTGATACGATTTTATTCGTTTAAATGACTATCGAAAAATACATTTGCGGAGTAAGGTTATGTAATGCTGCGCTAAAAAACGAAAAGGTTTGAGCAGAAAAACTCTTATTATAGGGTCCTTGCAACGAAAAACTGGATAAATTTAGTTGCTAATTTTAAGAAACAAAATTTTCTAACACGTGGTGTAGCCAGAACACATGCTTTGTAGGCTTTATAGGTCCTCGATACCGAAAAAAAGAATGTCGGCAAAATGTTCGTTTGTCCGGTGGGAGCGTAGGCTTCCGCGGCCGGAGTCAGTATTTTACTTGACTGTTCGGGTGACGCCGTGTCCATGGCAAAGGTACCGACGTCCGTTTGTGAACTAAACCGTTCAGTCGATTTTGTTCAAAATTGATATTCTTTAATTTATTTGGCTGATGACGCGGCCCCTGGAATTTGACGCCAATATTTTAATTTTTGAGGGTACTTTATATGAAACACCTGGGATATTTTTAAAATAATTTGATTTTTAATTTTCTTAAATTACTCCTTTATTTTTTATTATTTTTAGATACTAAATTATACATTTATAATAATGGCGAGGGTCTCATGTTCGTCCAAAACCATGTTTTTTTTAATTTCAAAAATTTTAAATTTTCTATTAGTCTTCCTACAAAAAATATTAAAGACGAAATCTGTTCCTGAAAGATAGATTTTAAAATAAGTTCGTGACCTTTTTTCGAAAATTGTAGTCCTTTTTGCGTAATTTTGCGTGGAAATAGGGCGAGAAAGTACGAGTTGTTTTAGCACCACTAGTTTCTTGAAAGTTTCACGAGAAGTTAAAATTAATAGTTACTGAAAAATTTGGGGCAGCCCCCCCCCCTGGAACAACGCCTAATGGCCGGTAAGCGCTCCCCTGATCCAGGGAGCTGTCCCCCGCGTCCTCGGCTTCCCGCCCGTTTTTCTAATCTCTTCTATGGCCTCGCCACCGTCAGACACTCTGCTTCTTTCATTATGTTGTGTTTAGTAGATGTTTGTCTGCAATCTGCATAGACTCATTTGTCCTAACACACATTTAATTTTAGTTTGTAGGAGAGTATGGTTCCACTACAATTCTATTACAATGCTTATGCTTACGTAACACTCTCCTGGCGCATGAAACGGAACGTTCTGAGCAGATGCAGTGCGGAGTGCAGAGAGGAAAATGAAATAGATAAGTCCAACACGTATTTCACAAGAACTGCAATACCTAAAAACAGCATTTTTTTAATTACTATTTTTTTAATGAAAAGTGCTTTACAATGGAACCAAAATTAGAGATAGTTTGGTAACTCGTAACACGCTTCCAAAAACGTAATAGAAGTTCCAAAAACGCCTTTTTTGTAGATTACGACATAATAAACTTGACTAATGCTTCTTTGGGTCACAAAAGCCCGTTTGTAACACCTTAATACATCGCTTCCGCATGTTGCACGATGGTAAAGAAAGTTGCAGCGTTTGTTTGTTTGTTTCGGTTGCACGTGCGCCTGATTTCCGACCTACGCCATATATTGCAAACTTGCCTACGCCTTATCTTGTTTTTCGTGTTAAACCCCTTCGTTGCAAAACTGGAGGTAATTTCCTAAACATCAGTAATACGAATGTGGGGTTATTGATGGTTTCTAATACAATTTCTATTGAACCTTTTTTCTCAACTGAATTCTGTGTTTTTTTGTTTTAAAGGAAATGTAAAGGGGTCTTAGGTGGTGTGTCATCATATCTTTTATTAACCGGTAAATAAAAACACCAAATTTGAATAATATATTTAATTTATTGGAATGAAAGCTTTTCTGCTGTTGTTTATAGATTAGGGCATTTCTAAGACAACTCCAATACAATTGAATTGCGATTGCTCTTGGCCGTTTTGTTAGAGGAATTGAAGCATTTCTGTATAAAACTTTCTGATGACTTTCAAACAACAAAATGTATACCAATTTGATTTATCAAATTGACCATTATTTTTACCAATTTAGTTTAGCACCATCAGCTTTGAGGTTTTGTTTTGATTTGCAAAAATGGCTCGAAAAGGCCATGGTCTTTAGCCAGACAGTCTTATGGCAGTCACAGCAATTAACAAGCCGTATATTACAGTGATTGGGTGATGATGAATTGCCATATTTTATTTCTAAGTCAAATTGTGTTCTAGGCAGTTCCAAGTTTTAAGGTCTAAGCAACCATTCATTCAAAAACTATGCTCCGTGTCAATCTTCTTTGTGCGTGACAGCTATCGACTTGCTAATTAGAAAAAGTCTTAACCCCAATTGTCCTTTTTCATTTCTTGTTCCTTCATGATACTTTACAGAATGATGAAAGGATACTTTACTAATCAAGTACTTTAAATAATTTTGATTTTAAAGATTCCCGAGTTTAATGAGAATATATATTAAAATTTAGTTAGACGGCAATGTTCTTTTTTCCTTCCTGTGCTACTATGACCAAAATGGAATTATAGAATTTGCTACGTAGTACGACGCCAAGTCTCGAGGAGCTTTGTCGTAATGCCGTGTTTGTGCTTCAGAGAAAAAGCGCATTTCACACCATCTCCCTCATGCGTTTCGTCCGGCCGGCTGCAACAAGATTAAATTAGGCCGTCGGTCGCGCTATTCCTCATTGCTACGAAACCACTGGCAGAGTCACCACAGTTCTTTGGAGCCAAGCACAAGAAGATTGGTACAGGGTGCAGACGCCATCCACTCCATCTAGTTCCGAAGTCGACGTAATTCTCCCTATCCTGGCGATATTTTCGGCATCTGTTCTCTCCAAAGTTATGCCAGATATCACAATCAGAGTAATATTTCGGTGTTACATCACCAACCATGTGTAGAGCGCGTAATCTTCCGGACTACCACGATTTTACTTTTAAATGCTCTCTGTAAAATCACTTTTAATGATTGGTAAACATTGCCATACTCCGTTTAGATTTCGAAATTTAAGGTTAAAAGTGTATTACTTAATACACATTTTCCTGACAATTTAATTAATGAGACTCACCTCACTCGCGAGGAATGCTTGTGACACCACGAGCAATGACCGCCGGCTCTTCTCTATGGCCTCGACGATGTTCGTATCGATGTTGCAGCCCAAAGTAAAGGCGCGCTCGTGGATGTAGGCCTTGTACTTCTCTGGGCCGTCTTCGATGAACGGAGCCAGGATGTTCATCACGAATGCGCGGTCCGACGAACTATGTCACAAAGGAGACACGGTTGAAGAAACACTGTGCTCGCACGTCGAAGAAGACAAGAAAATAATAAAAAGAGAGAGACTAACAATCACAGACATTGACGGAAAGAGGAATAATGGAGTGTAGAAAAGAGAGAGGTGGAAAGAGATGGAAACTGATGGAAGGAAATAGGAACAAAGGTAGGTAGAGAAAGAGAGAGAGAGAAGAGAAGAGAAAAGAGAAGAGAAAAGAGAAGAGAAAAGAGAAGAGAAAATGGAGAATGAGAGATGGAAGAGGAGAAAAATGGATGCATGAAAGAAGATAAACGGAAAATGAAGGAAAGAAAGGGAAAATGAAGGAAAGAAAGGGAAAATGAAGGAAAGAAAGGGAAAATGAGAGTAACAGAGACGAATAATGGAGGAAGACAGAGGGAAGAGGAGAAAGAGAGAGAAAAGGAGAGAAAGAGGAAAATGAGTTAAAAGTGCCGAGAAATTTGAGTAGGAAGAGAGAGTGAGGAATAATTGCGAGTCAGAGTGGAATATGAACGAAGTTTAATTTGTCCTTAAATTTGTTTAACATAAGATTTTATTGTATAGAGAATAGAAACTTCCTTATAATGAGCACATGTCACACCACTATTGCTTTTAATTCATTATGTGCAAAATGTACATACCTGTAGCAAATAAAGACATCATGTGTGCAGTTCTTCGGGTCTTCACTGGATTGCCGTATTCTCAGTCGGTACATATGGTAAATGAAAATAATTTTTTGCCGGAAGTAGTAAAAAACAAAGCCTTGTGCAATCAATAGTAGGCAGACGCCTCCTAATGAAGACCCTGTGAGGAGAGGTGTATTGGAAAAACACTTTTGCTGGTAGTAGTCGTCGTCCAAAATAAGGACGTGTCTCTTTTCTATTGGTGAACCACAGTGAGGGGCCAAATACGAATTGTTTAAACTGAAAAACTTTTCCGTATATTTCTTAAGCCATGTTTGAAAATAGTATATGGTGCAATTGTTGCATTCTAAAGGATTTTCCCGAAGATCCAAAGTTGTTAATGCTTGCAGAGAAAGTAACATTGATGGCGACATGAAATGGATTTTGTTGTGACTGAAGTTTACATGATTGACCCACGGCTCTCCTATTTCAAATATGTTTTCTGTTGTCCATTGACTGATTTCATTCATCGAGAGGTCGAGATATTTCACAGTTGTGTTGTTTAAACCTAAATTAGATATAAGCCTAATTTTGCTGTTGGAAAGATCTAGTTGTTTGATACTACAATTTATTAAAATGGGAAAGCTGCCGTTAACCATCTTCATTCTAACATATTCAAGATTTTCTTTTCCTACGATTTGCACATTATCATACCCAGACGCATACAGATTTTTCAGCTTTGGTCCAGATAGTTTCCAGATATTCCTTTTATCTTCGGGCTTCGAATAACTCACGTCCAACGTTTGTAAATGAGGAAAAGCAAATCCAAAAGTAAAAAATCTTTGTTGAGATCGATATCCTTTATAATGGGATATGTTGAGAAATTTCAGACTTGTAGTATAATTTTGGGGGTTGAAGCTCCAACTACTTCCGCTTATTCTATTGAAGGACACGTCTAATCTGTTAAGTTGAACACACAATTTCCACAAAGGGTTACCCACCGATAATAGAGCATTATGACTAAGATCGAGCTCCTCAAGAAAGGGTGCTGCGGTTGTGAGCAAATCGAAGTTTTGGTGGTAGGTCAAAATATTGTGTGAAAGATCTAGTCGCTTCAAAGAAGGAAACGTGACGCTGTTAAAAAAGTCAACTGTGTTCAAATTATTTCTTGCAAAAGATATTTCTTCGACAGTTGATGGTAGTTCAGCTAACACTGATGTATTATCTGAAACAGAAGCGTGATAGATCAGAAAAATATTATCTGAAACACAATAGCATTTTGGATTCCATTGCCTTCATAATTAATGAATTTACATAAAAACTAAGTGTCCCATGCTTGACGTGTACAGCGAAAACTTTTCTCTCTACTCCACGTTCAGCACATCTCTCCTCCTAGATCTATCTGCCTATTCGTCTCTTTTCTGTTTCTCCACTACTTTTATTTCTCTTTCCCATTTTCATCCCCCTCCTCTCTCCCTTACATTTAAATCGTTGTCTCCCTTCGTCTCTCCTTTCTTCTTTTTGACTCTCTACATCTACATTTCTCCATCCTTAACCTTTCTCTACCCCCGACGAAGACGCTCTCTAAAAGTATAAATACATACACCCAGCATTACTTACTAGCGTGGAAGAACTCGGGGCTCCTTGTGAGAGAGAAACTCCAAAGGCTGCCGAAGTCGCTGAGCGATGGCAGGCCTCTACTAAACGAAACCTGCTCCAGTGTTATGCGCACTGGCGACGTTCTGCTGACCCAATATCGCCAATCTAAGTACCTTCTTGGAGCTCGTATTAGCCTAAAAACAGAAATCGGAATGTTGTGTGAGACTCTTTCTCTTTTACCTCCCAGTTTCTCCACAGAACAATCCTAATAGTTTATTCCTAAAATTCAAACTAAAAATTTATTTAAGTACGATAAATAAAAAATGACTGGTATCAACAATTTATTTGGCTGATGATCCTTTCGATCAAGAGCTTGCAGCTTCCGGGCCGAAAACAAAGTATTTGTTTTGTTGTTTTCGGCCCAGAAGCTGCATACTCTGAGGATGATCGCTACGCGATCAAAACGATCATCAGCCAAATAAATTGTTGATACCAGACAATATCTTTTATTTATCATTATTAAATATTAGAAGGTATCTACCTCACAAGCAATCTAATTAATAAAAATGTATATAGCATCAACAACAAAACTAATTAATGAAATGAGCCATAGGAATTTAACCTTAATATCTCACATATTATATTTTATGGGGAAAATGATTTGCAGTATCAAAATATTCACCCCAGAAATCGAAAAACCTTTGTGAAGATGAATCTCAAAATGTTTGCTATTTGAGAATTAAATGGGAGTTAAAAACGTTTTGGAAGATACTTTATATACATACTTGAATAGAAAAACAAAATCTTCGACTTTCTATAAAGATTTCCGTCTCTCTGAAATTGTTGTTTAGTGAGGGTGAGTTTTCAAATGAATATATTAATATATCAATATATCAAAGGAAGTATGTACTAATGATTTGTCTAGTAAACACTGTTGGCAATGGAATAAATATATATTTCTACAAAATATAATGTAAATTGGAGATATGAATATATAACCATTAAATCAAATAGGAAATTTAAAGCACTAAAAGGCATGATTTATACTTTTCAAAGATAATCTACTTAAATTGCAGGATTACCTCTTGATATATATTCAAAATAAAATTGCAGTTTCACAGAGTATATCAAACATTATGTGTTTTTATGAAAATGGGGCTGCGTGGATGATGATATTAACGCTTCAAGAACTTCATTTCATTAAATATATAACCTATCTTTACTAATAAATAATAATTATGACGTGATCATACATATTAGTTTTCATTTTGTTTGCATTGTCTTCAGCGCAATGGCATCAGAGTTGTTTAATGAGCAGTAACTTTGATTTCAACGGAATTAAAGAAATACCTTTTTCTTCCAAATATTAAAGTGACACGTTAGCAATATAAATATATTACACTATCTCAAGTACCCTGCGTTGCTGGAGTATTTATGACAATAGTATATTAGACAGGAGGAGGTATTCCAACTATCCCCGCCCTGCCGCGGGGCCTACTTGTATCTATTCTATTGTATCCCCGCTCCTTCTTTCCCCAGGTCTCCCTGCTTTGCTCCCACCTGGAAATACTCTGCCTTCCCTAAAAAATGACGGTAAAATCAACAAACGGTCTTCTAACAGATACGCAATTATGTGTATTGGTAAACTCAAGTGTAAATCTCAATCGCCATTCTCTGTGAGAATGCAGCTAAACTATTGCACTTTGATGCATTCTGGAATCGGTGGTGCAATCCTTGGCGAAAAAAGTCCAGAAATGTAATTATTTTGTCAATATATTTAAGTTTATGGTTGTAAATCATAGCCTGTAGCACTTCAGACCTTTAAAGTAAGCTAGATCAAATGTTTCGTTGAAATTGGTCCTGTAGATTTAGAGATTATCACGCTGTAACGCAACTGCTATGTGTCTTTACGTCTTGTATGAATATTGTGACATGCCCGAACCCCCCTCCGGTATTTTAGACAGGAAAATATGCATCGAACGTATAAATATTATAGAATTGCATGCTCACAAAACCTAGACCAAAGAATACACGTCAGGACAATTAGTCAACAAGCGTAATATTCCATGCTTGATGGCTGAGTGCGATAATCTTGTGCAAACCTTGGCCCCGGGTCATAATTTTGAATACAAAAGAAGACGGCGTTGTAAATCGATCTTCCGTAATTATTTAGAATGGATCAGTCTGTATTCAACATCGACTCAACAACGACTAAGACGGAACTAATATTGCAAACTTAGCCTGGATAGCAATTTTGATGTTAGGGAGTGAGTACTTATATTAATTGGGCAAATTTGGTCCCTTATGTAACTTAGAATTCATGAGTGTTATTTTGCCATGTGTGTCAGTTGAAGGTCAATTCCAAAGAATTTCATATAAAATGAAATTTTTGCCGCTTTTTAGAGAATTCATGTTTTTTGCCAAAATCTCCATGGCGGGAATTTGAAATGTATTATATTTTCTTCTTAAATACCTTCAAAGAGTAGTCAACTGAATGAGCTCCAAGTGTGGCGCCAAAATTGAATTAATTTCGCCCCCTATGCCAAGATTGACGGATTATAGTAGATTATAAACGTATTTGAGCATATTTATTTAATTTCTTTAAGTTAATTAGGTAGTCACCTGTGAGTAGGCGCGTCATCCGGAGTACAGAGAAGGGAAATTTTGATCTTGAAAAGAAAGAAAAAGGAAATTAAAATATTTTACAAAGCAAAACGTAATTTCCTTAAAAACAAAGAACTTAAACACAATATTTTTTTAATATGTGACTATTTTATTGTTTAATAACGTCACTCATTGCCATTGACCAGAGTTGTGTTGTAGAATGATATCTTGCTTTCTTTAAATATTCTGTATTTTTTAAAAAAAATATACTAAATTGGAATTTTGAATCGTGCGTTCTCGAATGATATTTTTTCAATGCATTAGAACATATAATGTTATTATTAAACAGTTAAAACATTCGCAAATTATTAGGAACTCATCCGCTGGTAGAATTTGCTGCGAACGAGAGCAGAGCAAAAAGTTTAAAGATTGTAATTTCATGTAAACAAGTATTGAAGTTTTATTTTCAAAACCAAGTAAATGCGGATGATTTGTCACGGCAGTACCATCAATTTTTCAATAACAGGTTTAAGATTGCAGAACATCCAGAAATCACAGTTCAGAGTTGCACGTCCACATATAGAGAAAATTAAAAAAGTATTGTATTTATATGTCGAACTCATATTTGAACAATCAATGTAATTTTTTATAGTTATTGTAAGTGAGAATATGTGGTATAAGAACCGTATACGCAAAATTATTATTTTAATGTAATCAATATAGCGATGTAAAAACAGTTGGACAAGATAAATGATAAAATTAGAAGATTAATAGAAAAGAATAGAAATTTAATGTATCCCAATAATAAATAATTCAGTAGAAATCGGGTATATCTCAATAGACATAGATACGATACAGTTACAACACCCTAGTGTCTGAGTACAGACGTACATAAACGTGAAATTTCTTTACAATGATGTGTATCGCAAAAAATTAGTATTGTCATGATTGCTCCCAAGAACATGACTATTTTTGAGTGACCATAAATCAAATGTAGCGGAGTTGCGATTCAAAATGTTACTCCATTATATAGTGCATACCTATGGTAGCTTACAGGCTGTTAAATTCAACATTCCAAACAGAGGGCAGAGAACTGTAACTCTATTGTCCTGAGACATTAAGTATAACGCACACAAGACGAATTAATTAATGAATTATAATACAAATATATTGAAACAACAATTGAAAATGTACATTACCCCCTGGTGAATAGTTATTAATTTTACATTCAATTACGTAATGCAATGTTTTGAGAATTATAGCCTATGACAGAATCTTCCCACATTAGATATTTATAAAAGAAGTTAGGAATAGATATTAATTGAACTAGGCGTGAATTATTCATACAAGATATATGCCCTTAATGGAAAGTAGAGGTGGTTCAGAAGGACACGTATTTTATCAGACTAGTTAGTTTACAAAAATCTTTATCCTGGGCTACCTATTCGATTTTTCTCCATCCTTTTTACTTTCCTGTACACGTACGAATACATTGAGTAATATACGTAGTCTTGGGAAAGTTATCTAATGCTGGGGAAAATCTATTCTGAGATTTCAAAGGAAATACACGTTTTGGAGTTCACTGATACCAAAAATACGTGTTTTTTTCAAAACGTCCGTCTTTCCGTCCGTCCGTCCGTCTGGTGTATGTGAAAAACACTAGTGCCTAAACCGTACTTAGAATTTTTTCTAACTTGAAGAAACCACTGTCTATTTGACCTGAGTCAAAACTCTGCGATTTTGAAAAACATTCATTAATTTTTGGAAGTACTTTACATGCAGCCACCAGGTCATTTCCACCATTTTCTCAAAAACGGCTCCAAGCTTTTTCTTTATGTTTCTTGTAAGAATAGAGTAAACTACGCTTATAAAGTTGACACAGGTCTTATATTCATGGTTAACTCTCAATTTTCGCAAATTTAAAAAGTTTGAATTTTCTTTTTGGTCTTCCTACAACTATAAAATTGAAGATAGAGATTTTTCCTTCAAATGAAATTTGTTCTCCACAGTGAGTTCTTACATTAATGTCGTGCACGGTTTTTGAAAATTTTAAATTTTAAAATTCGGCCAATATTCCAAGCAATATGTGATACTTAAAAAAAATACAAAAAACAAAATTTTCACTTACAGTACTAATGACCATAACACTGAAGCGCCCGGAAACTCGAAATGACCAATGTTACGTTCTATGAATATTCACGTACTTACGTTGGAAGGTGCTTGACAGAGTTATCCAAATCAGCGGAGAAGACTTCTAAGGTGTCCTCGTTTTTAACCCACACCCAGCGGGCAAGGTCACAGTTGGCCCTCCGCGGCGGCGGGAAGGTGACGTTGGGGTCAAGTTGGTACGTCGTCCGCACGTAATCTCCGCCATTTGTATATTCGCAGAATACCTCTTGCGTGCCATTTGTCCATATGTACTTGCACGAAATTCCAGGTACATCTTGTTCCAGCCAATATATTCCTCCTCCTGCGTAAGATAATGCGGTTTTAGTAAGACAATTGCAGAACTAGCAGGGTTGCTATTGTTGTTTTTTACTAATTGCACGTAGACTGAAAAGTATTCGCACTATTTTTGATTTAGGTTTTTTAATTTTTTTTTCAACTTTCGAACCCGACCAGTAACCCTGGCGAGGCGGGAGTTTATTTTCATGTTGGGGTACAACATACGCCGCAGCTCTATGGCTTGTGCGGCAAAAGGGGGCAGAACTTACTTACTAACTTATTTCTAACTTAACCTATGGATGAAGCCGGCACTTTGGCCGGCAACCTAAGATTAACACAAGACTATATTCTTCTTCAGGCTTAATGGTTTTAGTTTTCTTGGGTATTTTTTTTTCTCATTCACACGCACATTCACACTAGACTACATGTTCACTTGACACACGCACTTTCACACGACACTATATACATCCTAAACACTATTTACACTATGTCTGCCACGGCGCCGACTTTTTTAATTTCTCGCACTTATTTCGTAAGACGAAAAAAATCCTTCGTACGCCATTCTTTCGGACGGAAAGTAAAGCCGGCTGTTCCATGTTAGTAGATTTGCTTGCGTGTAAAATATCCTCAAGCCTAAATGACGCCTCTCAGCTAAATTCAAATCGCCTGTTTCGTCACCCAATTAATGCCTCCTTTCTCCGCTAGTTGGTGAATCGAGCGTAGCGAAATTTGCATGGTCAGACGGAAGAGCGAGCCTGATGGTGTCTCGCCACGTAAAATAAGGCATTAATTGAAGAAAAGAGAGTATAGTAATCATGCACCAGAAAACGGCGAGTTGTCGATACAAAACTCTTATTGCCTGGCCCTGGTAACGATAAAATGGATAAATCTTACTTCTAAATAAATTAAAATGTTTTTTTAAACATGTTGTGTACTAAGAATCCATGTTTTCTGGATCCTTGACACCAAAAAATGGATTAAAGTTCAAACGTTTGTCTGTCCGTACGCCCAGCCGTCTGTCTCTTGCACCTAAACCGTTCAGCCGATTTTCTCCAAAATTGATATTTTCCAATCAATCAGGTTGATGTTGGTATCCGTAATTTGAAACTGATATTACTTTCTAGCCTTTTTTAATTTGGGAGGGATTTTTTACATTTTTCTTTACATGAAAGCCCCAGAGACATTTTCAAACTTGTAAACAAAGTGTGTCATAATATTTTGATGAAATTTTGTTTGTTTTTTTGGCAACATTTACAACTACAATTTTGAAAATAGTTTTTTCTTTACTGTTTGAAATCTTTTATTTAAAGTCAGTTGAAAGTGTCAGTCGTTTTCACGTAACTGCGTAAATAAAAGAATTTTTATTTTTTTAAAAAAATGTTCTTTTTCAAAAACGATCAAATTTTCTTATTTAATTTTTTCCTCATATGTACCAAAGTACGGTAAAAATTAATGTTATTCTTATTTCTTGCAAATTCTCCGTATTTTCGAAAATTGCAAAAGTTTAACTTTTACATCTAACTGTATTGACGATAAATATGTATGCCTTAAAACAAATCTCTGTAAAAAAAATCATGTGCAGTTTTTTGAAAAAGCGAGTAGATTTTCCGAAATTTGTTTCTAATTTATGCAAATTATATAAAACACATTTTCTCAAATACTGATCCGAATTTCGTCTTCAATAGTTCTCCACGGATAGAACAAGGAACGCATAAAAAAACTCTCCAAATTTTTGAAAATTGCAGATTTTAAAATAATGCAAGAGGTATGTGTTGCAGTAGCACCACTAGTTTCTTATCTGCTAGAGCAAACATACGAGTATAAAAGTAGCGCAAGTTTGATTTTCATTGTATTCTCTGAATTTCCAGAAATTAGAAAAAGAAATCAGGTGGCCGTGCTTCTATAACAGTACTAGCAAATGTTATCCTTAAGTTATTTCAAATATTCTTGCCAATAATTGAATTCTCTCAGAATAATTTGATCCCTATTATCTAGAACTACTATTTTATCAAAAGGGATAAAATGCTACAAACGGATCAATATTTTATTATAATTCTCATCTCTCTTATGGGAGACGAGTTTTCTTGGACAATACAAATATGTCTTCAACTGATGTTCAAACTTCTGCTCAAGCAACTCCAGTTTAAAATATGGAATTTTCAACCTCGCAACCACCAAATTATCAGCAAGCTTCTTATCCTACTTCTTGAACATCAACAGCTTTTCAAGAATCTTCCACAACCCTAGTTCCATAACCTGGAACTGACATAGAAGACATCTCTAAAAACGTTCGTCGTCCACATACCCCAAATGCTCTTAAAAACCCTTCCAAACGATCAAAATCATCTACACCCATATATGATATCAAGATCTACTCCAGATACGAAAGTTAAGCTAATCTACAGGAATAATCTTCTACTTCATGTCATCAAAAAGTTCCACCTATAAAAGTGATTGATATTAACTATCTATTATTACTTCAAGACATTATAAAAGTTGTTCACAATAACTATTCACCCAGATTCCTTTTATTTTTTATTTTTACAGATATTGATGACTATCGCAACTTCAGAAAGTTCAGAGAAAGTAATAACATAGTTTTATATATTTATTAAATCGGGTTAAAAATGTTCTTGTTGAGTTAGATTCTGTCCATTTTACAGTACTTATTACTCTATCCTTACCTTTTAATATTTCTTCTTCTACCGTCACACCTCTTTAAAAAAGTAGCTGAACTGACTTGCAATACGATATTGAGAATAATATTCAGTTTCCTCATTATATAAAATCTACAAATCATATTGACAATTGCGTATCTTATTTTAGTTCTACATTGTTAACGCACTTTACTCTTATCCGAGATTTATACCTAAATTTCTTCCTAGCACCTATAAACATTAACATCTTCGCATTCTTAACCTAATCAAAACTAAACACACCCTACGTCGTTATTGGCAATGAACTCGACGTCCTGATATTAAATCTAAACTTAACAAAATTTAGCGTATTATAAGATCTAGAATATATTTCTTTAAATGTTATCAATATCAAAACTTTCTTCTACAAATCCACCCTCACTCTAAACAATTATGATCTACAATTAAACGACACTATAATGACAAAACTCTCATTACTGTCCCTCAAGACTCTTCCTCCACTGCCCTAAATGATATTGAAAATCTTTATTTATTAGGCTCTCCCTTCCAGTCTTTCTTTTATTTCCTTAATGTTTATCTATTTAACATTCCAAAATTCGCTTTCTCTACATTAACCCTTTTGCATATGATATAGCACTTATTAATTCACACGCTAATATACATCTTCCCAGAAATAAACTTCAAATACATCTGAATCGTTATTCAGTTTGGGCAAACAATTGGAAAATCAAAATCAATATGGATAAGTGCCAAGCCAAAATATTTACGTTATATAAGCCAATGTAGAAACATTCTACATGCACCTTGATTTATTCCAAATATATAGATTTGTAATGAAATAAATCTCCCTACAATACACGATTTGATTGAAATTATAGTCTCAAATTTTTAAATACACTTCCTTTATTACGTCACATTTTTTTAAAAAACTTTGTAGAACATATCCCTTTTCTCGTAGAATTACTTCCAAACTTCATAAAGAAAAATTTCATCTTCCGTAATATTTTTTTCACTTCTTTTCCAATCTTCTAATTTTTACATTTTTCTAATTCTTAAATTTTGCCTTCGTATATTCTCTTAGTCTCTTTAACTTACTGGATACTATTAGTGTCCATAACGACTATTCTTATAGTGTAAATTTCAATACTTTGAGAAACTTATTCTCGAACAGAAAGTAATAAATTTAAAAAAAGAAATTACACAAACGTAAATTTTTTGGTCGTTGACCTTCAACTACAATATTGAACGTAGAGATTTTTCTTAATAAAATAGTGCTTGAAAGTTTGATTTTTAAATAAGGTCACGTAAACTATTTCAAAAATAAGAGGAGTTTTCGAGCAATACTTCACGAAAATTATTGTTAAACAGCTAGAAAAGCAATGTTAAGATCCACTTTAACCACATCCGGTGTGTCAGTCGAGATAAAAGAGGTGTCATTCGACGTGAATCCATTTCTTAACGTGAAATATATCTTTTTTTGAAAAATTACCTCGAATATTATTAGAAAAGTCCCTAAATATTATGTTTTTTGCGTTGTTAGAGAAATAAAACATTTTTTGGGTGACGTACGGTATATTAGAGATAAACAAGAGCTCATTCGATTCTCCTTGACAATAGAAATTAATTGGCACAATTCTCAGCCAATTCCCTCTAAGATACTCTGGAACATCCACCATTCTCTCAAAGAAAAATTACGCAAAACGAAGATTAATAAACCAATTTCGTTCAATTTTTTGAAAATTTTGAAAATGTTGATGCTTTGTGTAAAGTACCTTTAATAATCAAAATAATCGAAATGAGGAAGATCGAACAAAGAATAATTATTTATTTTAATAAAACCCTGCTTCGAAGTAATTTACTTCGTAGAACAACCAATTTACTTTCCGGTATCATAGCACCATGATACCAGTTTTTTCTGTCGAAAAATAACTGTTTCTTGCCCATCATTACAATACAGTCAATACAATACAGCAAGTACAATATAATATAGCTCGTAAGTAATATGCGATATAGTAAAAAATGGAACCTACCTACATTTACTCTTTTGATTCAACAATAATTATATTTAACAAAAAATCATTAATCTATTATTGAGAGCAGAGGATATTTTTAACGTGAAGAAATATCAAAATACACACAATATAATATCAAACTAATGTAACTGAAACGATGTGTTTTATTTCAAATATATTAAATCTTACGATTAGAATATGTTATTTATTTTGTCAAGTTTGTAAAAGTAAATGCGGAAATTCATGACAACAGATGAAGTATTTGAAAATGTTTTAGTGTCGTTACCATGACCACAACTATGTTTAACATTATTCCGTTGTAGGTTTAGATTCAGCGTTTATAAACGCTATTTTTAACCATATCCTGCTGATAGCGACACAGCATTTTATTGAAAACAAAAATATAAAAAGCAGCACAAAACATAAATCAGGGACAAAATATTTCACCATAAAAATATTGCTTTCATAAATGAAAATTTCAGCCCAATCTCAGTTTAATGTTAATAATTTGTTATTTCTAGAATCCATTGCAGTCTCTGCGCAAACGGCTGTGCAAATAAGGAATTACTGACTGATGTTTGAAATAAAATATCAAACATTATTTTGGAGGGGAAATGGTATGGGAAAACGATCATATAGTATGAAGTATTCTAGTATAGTGTCAAGAGAATTCTAGAGGCTATCATTTCAATACCTAAGAAGTTTTTTCTTATATTTTAGGAGGAAGTAGATTGTATACTTTCATTTAATATTTTAGAAAGAACATCAGTTAGATTATTCTATGAATAACAACACCTTAAAATTATTAAAATGTCTATTTTAAGGGTTTAAACAAGATGTTGTCTAAAATGCAAATTTATATTCCAACATCACTTAAATCCCAAACTCACGTAACAAAACATGTAAGACCGAATTAACTTTCCTAAGACCAGTGGCGTAGCCTCATTTGGTGTCTGCCGGGGCAAAACTAATGGAATCATCTCCTCTAAATTAAATATAAAAAAATATTTTACTGAACATTATATTACTGAAATATATTACAAAATTTATGCAATATTTAATAAAGATACAAATGTATTTGCACATATTTATGTATAATCTCATAAAACTCCAAATTCAGAATAATTGAAGTATTATTTTTGAACAAATAATCTAAAACTAAGTAAAACTAATTAACATTTGTTAATAAAAACACTTTTCGAGATTTAAGGGAGTCAAAAGTATCTGTGATTTCATTACAATATATGCTTATTGCATTTAACTTTGTCAGTATTACTTGTACTTTTCATCAATGTTCACCTAGTAAGATAAAGTAATCGTTGAAATGGAGACTCTTCACCATTGAAGAATGGGCGCTTACCACTAAGTGTTTCGCGTTTTAGTATACATTATTTCTTTGCTTATCTTTCTTGGCAATTATGATTTAAATATATAACTACAAATTTAATACATATGGTTTTTAAATAAAACATTAAAATTATATAACTCCATCTATTAACTTTTCTAATTGGTGTCACCCCTAAAATGGTTTCAACCGGGGCCGACGTTCTCCTCTACCCCCGTCTAACTCCACCACTTTCTAGAACTGAAGTGAATGGAAATATTTTTGTTTAAATAAGTGATTGATTATCATTTTCATTCCACATTTGGCGGTGTTCACTTCCTGAATTCTGAATTCTGGAACGTTTGTAAGAAAAAAATTCTCAAAATAGTTCAGTAATAAATTATAACAATGTGTTGCTAGTTAACGTAATTTTAAAAGTGAATTTATTCCTTATTAATTTTCACATAATACTTTCTTTAGGTGCAAAGAGAACACAACAAGTAGCAACTGCGTAAAATGTGCAAACAACTTACGGTCATCGGCCAAGCAGAGGCGATACGACTCGAGGAGCTCATACTCATAAGTTGGAGGTGCCGCACGCACGAGCTTAGACAACGGTGCAGCAACAAAAGTAATTACGAAAGCATGAACTGCGAAATTGGCACTAAACATCACAGCCTACTTGGTCATGTCCGAATGCAGACCCGTGAACCGGAGCTCTCCCTGACGGACACTACTCATTCCACTGCTCCTCTCCCGCGAGCGCAATTTCCTTCTGTGCCGCGAGTCCCACGGTAGAACGACCTTGGGGATTCCCACTATAGGATTGGACGAAGTTGAAGATTTCTTTTACTTTCAAAGACGCTACACCTAATATGTTGAAGTGTACAAAGACTTATTGACAATAAATGCTTTCGTCTATAGGTGAAACGCATTACAATGCAATCCAGTGTCGCACTTTAGTGAATCATAAAATTATGTTACTAATTTATCGGGAACTCCTGCAAGAAAAACTGAACTGAAATAATGAATATCAGAATGATCGTTGGTACAAAACAATACATACTACTGTCATTCATGCATTTAATGCACACTCTATTCAGATATACAGGTAAAATTTGGATATTAATTTGTGATCATGAATTACAGAGAATTTTACTGTTCTACTCTCTTATCATAGCGAGCGTGCGATCTCGTGGATATACCGGGAACTAATAGAAACCCGGGTCCGTGCATGTGCGGACTCTAGTGGCCGCAATGCGAAGTGCGCGATCTGTGTCATAGGTATATCGCGTTCGTATCATGCTTGGGCAGTGAATGCCACAATCTAATGCTTAATATTGTTCTCAGTAGAATGCATTAAAGTTATTAATTTATTTTGCAGCTTTTTGAGTTCCACATGAAGAACAGAAACATTCTTGTGAGTGTAAAGACAAAATGATAGTTAATAAAAAGTAAATTTTCTTGGAAGGGGTCACTCTTTCTAGGCCAAAAATACATATTATTGATAAAATAAACTGTGAATAGACGGTTTTAACGCAATTAATGAACATGCATGGTATTTTACGTATCCTTGTCTAAGGAGAGGGCTAGTGCGATCTCGTGGAGAATACAGGAACTACTGGCGAGTCGGGCCCGTACATGTGCGGAATCTGGTGGCCACATTGAGAAGCGCGGTGCTTTGCAGCGCTCTCTAGAAACAGAATTCAGAACTACAACGTGTACTTCATGTCTCTTCAACTTTAAATTCGCTTTCATTACATTTTTTTACTTAAACATGAAAATTGAGATTAATTACTCTCAATGTACTAAGTACACTTACCTTGAGAATAAATGTGGGTAACTATGTAATATAATAGTCAAGAAAGGCATATTTTGCAATACTTATTGATTTATTGGACAATGGAAAAACGAATTGCAAATCTTCTTTCTCCTTTTCCTCCTAATATGTTACTTTCCCTTTCTCTTCCTCCTCCTTTTCTCCCACTTTTTTCTTTTCTTTTTCTCAATATTATTTTCATTCCTTCCTTTTCCTCCTCCTTCTACTCACATTTCTCCTCTTCACCGATTTCCTTTCTCGCCTGCTCCTTTCCCTCCTCTTCCTTGCTCTCTTCCTTCTACCCTTCTCCTCTTTCGCCTTTTTTTTCACCTGCGCGTTTTCCTTCTCATTCCCTCTCTTCTACAACTCCTTCTACGTATTCTTCTTCTTATTATTTTTCTTTTTCCCCGTTTGAAAATTTGGAATCTTAATTAATCTCGATTTTAATACAATTATTCCCAATCTTTACCCTATAAAAAATGAATATTTAAAACGGTATTTATATTTGTAGTGAAACATCTATTGTGATTATTATTATTATTATTATTATTATTATTATTATTATTATTATATTTTTTTATTATTCATTTTTGTTGCCTGTGCTATTTTCGTCATTCAAAAATTGAGCTTACAATTTCAATTCTTGTGATTATCAATCACGATATCACTCCTATGCTTTTGTTATGTTTTCTAAATCAATGAATTTATGCTTCATCATAGCATACAAGCTACCACTCATTTTTCTCTGTAATGTTTCTTTTTCCTAATAGTTCAGTTACATGTGTTACCCTCATTTGTGTTCACTAATTTCTATGTAATGGTGACAATCTCTGAAAACATCCAGTTTCAGAAAACGAGACCTTTTGGTATTGTAAAATTACAAATTGTTGTTCTTTGGATCCAGAAAAGGAGAAAAGTTGGAGAAGGATGACTGGGTGATTGATATGACAACGGGTCACGCTCTAAATACCTCAGTCTGCTGCCGCACATTACCTCCGCCAACGTAATAATACTTTTTTAAATTCAGTCCTGTCAGATCAATGGACGAATGTTTATTTTTGGAATGAATTTTGTGTGGTTTAGGCGCATATGTTGTTTTCGCAAACGGTGCAAATGACAGATGAACAAACAGGCCGACAGGCAGTCAGACATGTCGCCAAGGTTTTGGTTTGAAGGATCCACAAAAGATAAATTCGTACTACACTATGCATTCAAGAAAATAATTTCTTACATTTTAGAACAAGAAAAAATAGTGATATCTTAAGACAGATTTCTCTGTATAAATAAAATAATAAATAATACTATAAAAACTAAATATTTTTATATGTTTTATAATGGATACTTTGAATAGTTGATTTCGAAGAAAAATGTTTATATTTTATGCAAAGGTGTCACAAATAGATTGGGATGATACCAAATTAATTCCCACCCTCTCGATATTTTTGGAACACTTTAAATAATACTTAAAACATTGAATATTAAAACTATGAAAGAATATGTATTTGGGGCACGATTGATACATACATATTAAGATAGGTTACAATATCAATATCTACGGATGCCGTCTCAATTTATTGCCTCTTTAATTTGAATGTTGGATCTAAAGTGTATTGGATTGAGACGTAACTTCTTTTGGATGCCGCAAACATTAACTTGTACACTGCATACAAACTGACCGCAAACAAAGTATTTTCTTATGGCATTAAAATATTTGGCTTCAGAGAGGGCAAAAGCAATAGAGTATGAAAAGAGACTGGAGAAAGGTGAGAATAGTTAGCTAGAAGTGTTTGGGAAAAATTAATAAAGTAAATATAATACAAGTCAGTTTGAAAGCATGGGAAAATTATAACGAGATAATGTTGGCTGAGGCGAGATGAGGTTGAGAGGGCAGGGAGAAGATTAGTAGGTTGGTAGCTGATAGAAATATTCTGGGGTAGGCAAACACGAGTAAAATAAGTGAGGCTAGAAATATTCTGTACAAATAAAAGTGAATTCAACGACATGTTACCGACATCCATACCACAAAAAATAGTGTTGGATTAGATACCAATTTAACAGGCTTTTCTTCAGTATTGTCGCAGAGTCCTTGCAAAGTTTGATAAAGATTAATACAACAAAAATGCAGAAAATAAGTGACGTAAATAATAAGTTGGATATAAATTATAGTATTTGATTAAAATTTGAACCAATTGTATTAAAAATAATAAGCAACTCCAGAGTTTGTGTAAAATTGATCTTTCCCTTCGTTTTTACACGGATTGGATATGCAAGAAGCCCAGTAAACGCCGGGCATTTTGCTAGTATAGTACATTAGATTATTGGGGGGTGGTCCGTCGGGTAGTAGTCAGACTGCTCGCATCCCACCGCTGGTGTCCGGGCTCGATCACAGGCGGTTCCGACAGTGGAATTTGTGGTGGGCAAAGCGGGTTCGCGGTACGTTTTCTCGGGGTGCTCCCGTTTCACCTGCCAATGTGAATTACACCGGATCGCTCAATCAACTATTCCTTATCATATACTGTCATTAACCGCCAGCCATTCCGTTAAGGATCTACGGATCTCAGCGACGTTAAGGCGATAAGGTGGCACTAGCTGGAAATGGCTACAGATATCTCAGCGGATTATCGACAAGTAGGGTCTAGGCGTGGAGAATTAGAGAGATGGGAAATGGTGAGAGAGTTAGGGACGCCCCCTCCCAAGCCCCTAGAAACGGATAGCAGAGAGTGGAAGTATGCCAGAAAGGGCGAGGGGTATAGTTTGAAGCTGGCCCCTGAGAAGAAAAAACAGAGTTTAGTTATTTAGTATTTTAGATTATTCTACAAATAATGTGAGAAAGACAAGAGAAGATGTGAATAGCAGATCAAAGTTAGCTAAACACAGGGAATGAGTGCAAAGTTAACCTCGCTATATTGGTTAAAAGAAGAAGATAGATCGTGTAGAATTTGAGGCAGAGGAATATCTTCCTCATTACATTATCATGTACTGAAACACGCTTCAAATACACGATGAGCGCCACATGATCTGAAACGTGGTTAAAACTTACATTGAACGCCAAATGTAACGAAACATGCTGGAAGAACACATTGATGAAACTCAGTGTGTATACCTACGTTTGTTTTGTACCAAGCGCAAAACAAACCTACTTGTTTAGACGTCGGCTTTTGAGAATCTAGGGGGTAGACGGCTCTCGGTGAGATGAAAGGTTTTTCACTAATTATACTTTTATTAACACCTGCCATTAGTTCATTCAACGCAACGCGTCGAAGTAACGAATGCAAGTTTATTTTACTAAAGTGAACTGAGTAAGCAATAAAAAATACAAGGAATGTCAGATGTGGAGAAATAAGATCAATCACAAGATTCCTCTGTTCCATGAATATTACAGTCTTTCAACGTGTTCAATGATAACTGGCCCGATGCATTACCTTGGCCGGTGATTACTTCGCTTCGATAATTGCACGTCTACTGGCTTCCAACGGAGGCTGGTATCTGGACGTCATACGGGGCCCTGATGCTGCACAGATGACGGTGATAGAACGCGCCCATCCGGACTAGATGGCCGCCTCGCGTTCTCCAGTTGTTGGTTGCAACCACTAGACCGAATCAAATGATAAATTGAGTGGCGAGGCCCCGATTTGTGTGGTGGTTTAGTGTTTAACAGTTGGTCGTCATATTAAAATATTCCTGGACGTTTGTGCCTAACATGCACCTATGTAGAAAATAGCCGGAAGAGACTGACAGAGACAGACAGAAACAGTGACAGATAGAAAGTTAGACAGACAGATAGATAAACAGACAGACAGACAGATAGAGAGACAGACAGACAGACAGATAGATGGGCAAACAGAGAAATACACTTACAGATAGAGAGATAGACAGACAGACAGACAGACATATAGACAGACAGAGAGATAGACAGACAGATGGAAAGGGAGATAGACAGACAGACAGAGAAATAGACAGACAGACAGAGAGATA